TGCACGCATTCGAGAACTCGTTTGGATTCGAGCTCGCGTGATATCATTCCCCCTTTATATTTTTTAAATAAATCACGTTGCTGGAAATATATGATTTATCGTCGGAAGAGCATGCCGAACGAACCGAAGTGTGTGTCTATGGTGCAGCACGGTCCGATGTAAATCATTTATTCTGCTAAGTGTACGTGTCATGCGGCTGACCGCCATTTGGATAGACGCTTCTAGAATATCATTCATTTGTATCTCTCGCTTCTTCCGTCGACAGCCTGTCTTCTTCTATATCTGTTTATCTCGTGATATGCACCATATTAATATTTGATGCGTTTTACACGCGGAGGGCATACATATGTGCGCGTTTATCATTCCAGCAAATTTTCTTAAACGAGAACGTAATTTAGAAACGCGTTTACACGCGTCGCTAATTATCACGCCATGCTACAAATTAGCATCCTCCTCAGAGTTCGAACGAACTTTTACGAAAACGATTATCGTTCGTGTTGCTTGTGGGTGACACTGCGAATGCACTTAGTGGTTCTCAACTTTTTCCCGTCCTGTTTCCAGGTGTCCTACTATTGTCGCGCGAATCTTTTACACATCTTCGTGCAATCTGCATCTTTTCTTAATTCGATATACTACCTCTCTTCTAACATAAAGTCAACGACAACGATTTTAATACTTAAAACTATTAAAGGTTCGTCGATTCGAAAGTTGTTTGTCAACTCTTATAGCATTTTTTGAAAAAAATGTAATATTTTTCGGTTATACTTTGATTTTTAGAGTTCACGAAAGGAAAAAATAATCGCGTCGTCTTATTTCTTTTTTGAAAAAGATAATGATGGAAATATCCAAGTATTAATTACATAGACTTGCGTGTAGTTTAATTACTTGACGAAATTTTCGTGATAAATTATTATTTATCGAATGAAAAAGACATATAAAATACAGCGTCCAAATATTTGATATGAGATAACACGAACAGTTAACATAATTGCATTTTTGCGGTGCGTGTATTAAATAAAGTTAAAAATATTTCGTAATGTAAACAATGCCGGTCGCACACGCACTGGTTTAGTTTTTCCACGAGTTCGACGTTCTTGCCTTGCCCGGACTCGGTTAACAAGCTTCCGTTCAAAGCGATAAAGCATGCTAACGACCTACTAATCTGAAACGTAGGGTTCGAACGACTGTAAAATATTAGAAGCGTGACACTGTATCTTCCGGTGAGCTTGTTAAGAAAAGTAAGATCGTACGAGCGAAATGGCCACGTTTGAAAAAAAAAAAAAGAATATCTTTCAACGTTTACTGTGTTGTAATGCGAATAAATGTACGAAATGTAGTGGCAGAAAATTTCGACGTATGATTCGAATTCTAATGGCAAGTCCTAAAGGATGTCAGCACCAAACGGCGGTATGCCGGATTGCGTAACTTTCGCCAAATTTAACGCGAATATGGAACGAACGCGTCGTGTACGTTTCCCTTATTTCGTTTCGCTGGTGCGCGCGCTACATGCACGGGCAACTTATTCATCGTTGATTGTGTCGGTATTTAAACGAGCTCCTGTTCTGGCCTTACGTAATTTGCTGAACGCGGAGAGCAGCGGTATACACACGCTTGGTTGCTTATTCAGCGATGTTGTGACCTGTATTCACGTCGCGACACTTCTGTTTCTTTTTACTAGAAACCCACTCATGGATGTTCCACATGTGTGTACATGTGTGTGTGTG